CACCCTCGGAATCGGCACTGCCAGGATCCCTGTGGGTGCTGCACTCCCTAAATTGGGATATGGGCACACAGGGATGAGGTTTGCTCTGCTCCCAGAGCCAAACCGGAGCTCCAGTGGCTTCTGGAGTTATTGTGAGGTGTTGGTGAAGGAATTTGGGGATCCCTGACCCCATGATCCTGATGAATGTCCCTTTTCCCAGAGGACAAACATCCACATCAATGACAACGTCCTGCACTCTGCCCACGAGTCAGGGGTGCAGAAAGTGGTCTCCTGCCTCTCCACCTGCATCTTCCCAGACAAGACCACCTATCCCATCGACGAGACCATGGTGAGAGTCCCCATTCCCACACAAAATCCAGGGAAAGTCCCTGCCCTGCTTAATTTGTCCACTCTGATATTCCCAGATCCACAACGGGCCCCCTCACAGCTCCAACTTTGGCTACTCCTACGCCAAGAGGATGATTGATGTCCAAAACAGGTGAGTCTGGGGACATGGCAGCAGCCATGGGATTTCAAGGCAAGGGGAATCCAGTGGGAATTCCAGGTGGAAGTTGGGGAGATACTTGGGGCTCAGCAGGTGAAGGTGCTGCTGGCTGGGGTTTTTTGGGTGCTGGAGGAAGGGGCTTGAGAGCCCACCCACCATCCCTTCCCTGCTCTCATCCAGGGGTTATTCCGAGCAGCACGGCCGACGCTTCACCGCCGTCATTCCCACCAACGTCTTCGGGCCACACGACAACTTCAACATCGAGGACGGCCACGTGCTGCCAGGGCTCATCCACAAGGTCTACCTGGCCAAACGTGAGGGTGGCAGGACTTCCAGGGATTTTTTCTGGGGAGAAATGAGGGGTTTTTTTCTTTCCCACCTGTCTGCGGGGTGGTTGGAGGTGGCTCTGGTGGTCATGGTTCCTTCCTCCTGCAGAGTCCGGCTCTGCTCTGACTGTCTGGGGAACAGGCAAGCCCAGGAGACAGTTCATCTATTCCCTGGTAGGTGTGGCCTTGGGAAGCAGGGAATGGGGCTGGAGGACCCACTGGCAGGACCCTAGAGGGGTCTGAACCCCCCTGGCTTGTCCTGGGACATCCCCAGAGTTGAGTCCCCATGGGATGGGAGGGTTGGGGGACATCAGTGACTCCTCCAAGAGTTGTCTGCTCTTCAACAGGACCTGGCCCGACTTTTCATTTGGGTGCTGCGAGAATATGATGAGGTGGAACCAATCATTTTGTCAGGTAAGCCCTGGCTGCCCCCCAGGCGTCCCCTCTCCATGAGGGAACAGCCATGATCCTTCCCTTCTTGATAGTGGGAGAAGAAGATGAAGTCTCCATCCAGGAAGCGGCAGAGGCCATCGCGGAGGCCATGGAATTCAGGGGGGAGCTCATTGTATCCTTCACAAAAGGCTAAGCCCCTCTTCCCACCAGCTCCCCTGGGAGATTCCATGATCCAGAGGATCCTTCCCACCAAAGGAGCAAAAGCAAGACATGTTTTTCCTCCTTAACCCTTCCCATCCCAGTTTGACACCACCAAGTCCGACGGGCAGTTCAAGAAGACGGCCAGCAATGCCAAGCTGCGGCGCTACCTGCCTGAATTCCAGTTCACACCTTTCAGGAAAGGTGAGATGGGGGAGTCTCCAGGAGACACCAGGGGTCCTACCCCGTGCCATCAGCCTTGGTGGCATCAAGGTGGTCTGTCCTTTCTGCATGAGGAATGAGGGTGGTGAAACACTGGCATGTGTTGTCCAGGGAGGTGGTGGTTTCTCCTTCCTTGGAAATATCCAGGGTCAGGTTGGATGGGGCATGGAGCAACCTGGTCTCTTGGGAGGTGTCTCCTTGCATGATGGTTGCATGAGAAGACCTAAAAAAGTCCCTTCCAACCCAACCTATCCCATGATTGGTTCTCTGACCAAAATCCATTCCCAATCCCAAAACTTGTTCCATGATTCTCTGACCAAGATCCCTTCCCAGTCCCCAAACCCATCCTGTGATTCTGTGACCAAAATCCATTCCAGTCCCCAAACCCATCCCATGATTCTGTGACCAAAATCCATCCCAGTCCCCAAACCCATCCCATGATTCTGTGACCAAAATCCATCCCAGTCCCCAAACCCATCCCATGATCCTGACCAAAATCCATTCCAAATCCCCCAAATGTCCCATGATTCTTTGACCAAAATCAATTCCCAATCCCAAAATTTGTTCCATGATTCTATGACCAAAATCCCTTCCCAGTCCCCAAACCTATCCCACAGTTCTATGGCTAAAATCCATTTCCAATCTCTGATCCCATCCCATGATTCTTTGCCCAAAAATCAATTCCTAATTCCAAAACTTGTCCCATGATTCTCTGACCAAAATCCCTTCCCAGTCCCCAGACCTATCCCATGGTTCTGTGATCAAAATCTGTTCCCAGTCCCCCGAATGTCCCATGATTCTCTGACCAAAATCCATTCCAGTCCCCAAACCCATCCCATGATTCTGTGGCCAAAATCCATTCCCAGTCCCCAAACCCATCCTGTGATTCTCTGACCAGAATCCGTTCCCAATCCCTAAACCCACCCCATGATTCTCTGACCAAAATCCTTTCCCAATCCCCCAATTGTCCCATAATTTTTTGACCAAAATCCATTCCCAATCCCAAAACTTGTTCCATGATTCTCTGACCAAAACGCATTCCAGTCCCCAAACCCATCCCGTGATTCTCTGACCAAAATCCATTCCCATAATCCACTCCTAATCCTCAAACCCATCCCGTGATTCTCTGACCAAAATCCATTCCCAGTCCCCAAACCCATCCCGTGATTCTGTGACCAAAATCCATTCCCAAAATCCATTCCCAAATCCCCAAACCCATCCCATGACCCTGTGACCAAAATCCACTTCGAGTCCCCAAACCCATTCCGTGATTCTCTGACCAAAACCCATTCCCAATCCTGCAAATGTCCCATTATTCTGCAACCAAAACCAATTCCCAATCCCAAAACCTGTCCCATGATTCTTTGGCCAAAATCAATTCCCAATCCCCAAACCTGTCCCATGATTCTCTGACCAAAATCCATTCCCAGTCCCAAAACCCATCTTGTGATTCTATGACCAACATCCATTCCCAATCCCCAAACCCATCCCATGATTCTTTGACCAAAATAAATTCCAAAATTCCTTCCCAGTCCCCAAACCCATCCTGTGATTCTCTGACCAGAATCCATTCCCAATCCCCCAAATGTCCCATGATTCTTTGACCAAAATCAATTCCCAATCCCAAAACTTCTTCCATGATTCTCTGACCAAGATCCTTTCCCAGTCCCCAAACACATCCTGTGATTCTGTAACCAAAATCCCATCCCAGTCCCCAAACCCATCCCATGATTCTCTGACCAAAATAAATTCCCAATCTCAAAACCTGTCCCATGATTCTGACCAAAATCAATTCCCAGTCCCCAAACCCATCCCATAATTCTTTGACCAAAATCAATTCCCAATCCCAAAATTTGTTCCATGATTCTCTGACCAAAATCCATTCCAGTCCCCAAACCCATCCCGTGATTCTCTGACCAAAATCAATTCCCAAGATCCATTCCCAATCCCCAAACCCATCCCATCTTCTCCCTCCCCAGCTGTGAAGGAAACCTGTGCCTGGTTCAACGCCAACTATGCCAACGCCAGGAAGTGACGGCACCGGGACCGCCTGGCACCGGGATCATCCTCTTCAACTCAGGGTTGTCCTTTGCTGGGGCAGAGGACAGGGCTGGGGGGGTGACAGTGACATTTCCAAAGTAAAAATGGGAGCCCGGGGAGCAGCTCCCACATTCCTGCCCCACTGCTGGGAGCGGCGCAGGACGCCCAGGGCAGGGGGGAGGAAAGTTGGGGCATCCCAAAAAAATCCCTAATCAAGTGGTAGGAGCCAACTGGAGCCATCGCCGTGGCTGTGTCCAAGAGAGTGGTGGCTCTGAGCTGTTAATGAGCTACATTAATTACCTGCAATTAGGTGTAATAAAGGGAAGGCAATCAGGAATCCAGGGCATGGAAATGGCAGCAGAAAATTTGCTGCTGCTCTTGGCACATGGGGATGATCCCACAGCCCCCTATCTCTGGATAGGAATGGGAAAGACTCCAGCTGTAATTGTGGCATTTATTAAAATATATGCAAATAGCATAAAACTGGTGGGATAATGAACATCTGCCCTGTACCCATATCCAGTGGCATCCTTAGGGTCTATGTTCTCCACCAGGAACAACCATAAAAAGGGTTAAAACTCCTCAGGGAGTGGGCAGAGGGTCAAAAACGGGGGGATGAATCCATGGCCGAGCTACTGCTGGTGGTGTGGATGTGGCAGAATTCCAGCCCGGGAATTGCTTTCTTCCGGCACCGCTGCCCAGCCCTGGTGAGGCCCTGGCACGGGGACCTACAGAGGAGACACCAATCGGCACCCCAGGAAGCCACCAGCACCTTGGTGTCCCCCTGAGGTGACACCAAGCCATGGAGAAGGGACATTCTGGTGGTTGGTACTCACGTGTTGGCCCTCGGGCTGCAGGCTTTGGGCTCCAGGAGCTTCCCAGCATCCATGACCGGCTCTGGTGTCACCTGGTTTGGGAAGAAGGGGGTTCCTGCAGATGTGCCTTGGCCCTAGGGTGCCTTGGCCATCCTTCAGGACACCCTCTTCCACCCCAAATTCTTCCCTGTATGTCATGTCCCCAGCCCTGTCTGTCTGCCCCACACCCAGAGGTGCCACCATGGTGAGGACACCCCAACCTTGGAGGACCTGACCCTCAGTGAGACCCAGGTGGTCCCCAAGAGCAGATTTTGGGGGACAACACCAACATGGGGACATCCCACCCAGCACCTTACCCCACATGAGCTCGGTGTTGTCCTCTGGCCATCGGGGTCAGGTGACACCTGCCCTGTGAATTTGGGAATGTCCCCAGCCACCTCTTGGGGCTGCTCCAGGTGTGAAGGCTCTGCAAGAACAAGGCAGGGGTGGAGATACCCTCCAAGGTGGAGGATGGGAACACTCTTAGGTGGTGGCACATGCCCTGGCAGAGGTTGGGGACACTCTGGGATAACACACATGTCCCAGCACAAGATTGGGACGTGTCAGGACTTTGGATCCTTGTCCCAGAGCCACCACAGATCCCACCTTGTGGGCGCCTCTCATTTTGCAGGCAGCTCATCTCCATCCTGTCCAACTCCTCTTGCAGCAGCTCCATGTCGCATTCCCTGTGTGGAAAGAAGGAAAATCGGACTCCTGTCACCTTGGTGGCTTCTGTGTCACCACCACCATGGAGACATGAACCTCTGCAGCCTCTCCACACCCTTCTCTGAGCAGAAATAAGTCAGGGAGTTGGGAAGAGGTGCCCAAAAGCCATAGGAAAACCACCAGGATGTGTTCTGTCCTTTCCTGGAGACCTCTGCCAGATGGCTGCAGGATGGGACACCCAGGGCTGTGACACTGACCAGAAACAGGTCATGGAGTTGGGATGAGGTGCCCAAAAACCATAGCAAAGCCATCCAAGATGTGTCCTGTCCTTTCCTGGAGACCTCTGCCAGATGGCTGCAGGATGGGACACCCAGGGATGTGACATTGACCAGAAACAGGACATCGAGTGGGGATGAGATGCCCCAAAGCCATAGGAAAGCCATCAAGATGTGTCCTATCCTTTCCTGGAGACTTCTGCCAGGTGGCTCCAGGGTGGAACATCCAGGGAAATTCAGGATGAGGCACCAAGGGTGGGGCACCAAGGATGGAACATCTAAACAAAAATGGTGCAAGGAGTTGGGATGAGGGGTCCAAAAGCCTTAGAGAAGCCACCAAGATGTGTCCTGTCCCTTCCTGAGAACTTCTGACAGATGGCTCCAGGGTGGAACATCCAGGATGGGAAATTCAGGATGAGGCACCAAGGATGGGTAGAACACCCCAGATGGAACATCTGAACAGAAATGGTGGAAGGAGTTGGGATGAGGTGTCTGAAAGCCATAGGGAAGCCACCAAGATGTGTCCTGTCCCCTTCCTGAGAACTTGTGCCAGATGGCTCCAGGGTGGAAAATCCAGGATGAGGCACCAAGGATGGGACATCCAAGATGGAACATCTGACCAGAAACAGGATATGGAGTTGGGATGAGATGCCCAAAACCTGTGGGAAAGCCATGCAAGATGTGCCCTATCCTTCCCTGGAGACCTCTGCCAGATGGCTCCAGGGTGGAACATCCAGGATGGGAAATTCAGGATGAGACACCAAGGATGTGACATCCAAGATGGAACATCTGAACAGAAATGGCGCAAGGAATTGGGATGAGGTGTCCAAAAGTCACATGTGTCCTATCTAAGGAAGCCACCAAGATGTGTCCTGTCCCTTCCTGAGAACTTCTGACAGATGGCTCCAGGGTGGGAAATCCAGGGTGGAAAATCCAGGATGGGACACCAAGGATGGGACCCAGCAGCTCCCAGTGGTTCCATGCCACCTCCTCAACCATCTGCTACCTCTCCGGGGTGGAGGTGAGCCGGTACCGAGCCTTTTCCCGGGGAACCCCTGTCCGGATCCTTCCGGCACCACGGCAGCCGGATGCCAGCAGCCAATGCCCTGTGGGACAACGAGAGGGTGGGAGAGGACAGAGCCCCTCCCCAGAGTGGTTTGTCCCCAGCCGCTGTCCCCACACTTGTCCCCACCTGCTGCAGCCAGGACCAGGAGAGTGGAGATTGCTGGAATGCCGAGGGCGCTGGAAGCGAGGAAGAGGAGGAGAAAGGTCGCCTGGAATGATGCTGGCACCAGTGGGAGAACCAGGAGCATGAAGAATGAGCTGTGTGGGATGCAGGAGGAGGTGACACTTTGGCTCTGACCTGTGGGATGAGGAAGAAGAGCCTGGTGTTGGCATCCAGCAGCTCCCATCGATCCTCCAGCCCCCATTCCCGCTCACCATCCGGGTCAGGGATGGCTTTGAGGTGCTCCAGGTGCTTTTCCAGCCGGCTTTGTGCATCTTCCAAGGCTGTCAGCATCAGCTCCAAGCTCTGGTTGACCTTCTGCAGCTTCTCCATCACCTCCTGAAGGACCAGGATGCTCTCTGCATATGGAAAAAGATGGAAACAGCAGTGGGATGAGCTGGGGAAGATGCACCCCAGTGTGAAAAACCCGGGAATGGGATTTGCTGTGTTCCCACCTGGCTGAGGATGAACATCCTGAGGTCTTTCCTGCTCCTGATGGAGGTTGGATGGGACAACCTGGTGTCCTGCCCGGAGCTCTGCAGCCCCACGGCTGCTCATATTCCCTGGGGTGGGAAAAGAGGTTGGATCAGTCCCAAAGTGGGAAATGGGAATGTTGCAGCATCCCAACCTTCCCTCATACCCATCTGGTGGGCGATGTCCTGCATGAGCTTGGCCACGGGGATCTCATCCAGAGCTGACCTCATCCAGGCCTCCCAGAGCTCCTCCTGAGGTGAATATTTGGGAGGTGATGATGGGGAAATGCTGGTTTTCCCCATGGACACCCCAAATGCACCCCTGGGTGCTCCCAGCACACGATGGGGGGACAGAGGAGGGGGTTTGGGGATCTAAAATATGGAAAAAGGTGTAAACTCACCCCCGAATTTGGCCTTCACCCCCAAAAAACCATCCCTACACCAAGCAAAGAGGCTGCCCAGGATAGGGGATCCCAGAATCCAAATTTCCCAGCCAGAGGGAGTCCCACAGCCACCAGCCAGTAACAGGAGTGCAGGTGTGACATTTCCTGGGATGTGGCTTCATCCCAGAACCGGCTGTCACCCGTGGTTGTCTTGATGGGGATTTGTGGGGCGAACCCCAGCTCTGAGTGGGGGTGGGGGGGGGTTCCCACCTTCTCTGGGTGGGCAGCGAGGCCCAGCCACCCCCAAAACCCAGCAGTGGCACAGAGGAGCAGCACAGCCCAGGAGCTCCGGAGCAGCATGATGGGAACGGAGGGGGTCCTGTGGGGAGAAGATAGTGGGGAATACCCCTCCATATTCATGTACAAATTACAGGAACCCTCTCCCCAAATTTCCTCCCACCAGGGGAACCTCCCATAGTCCCAGGAATGCTGGTGAGTGTGGAGCACCCAGGAATGGGAAGCAGCTCCCACATCCACCGACAAATTAGGGGATTTGGGGACAAATTGGGGATCCTCTTAGAAAGTACCCCCCACAAACCCGTGGATGCCGGCGGGTGGGGGAACCTGTGGGGCCAGGAGAGTGGGAAGCCCCTCCCACATCCACGGACAACTTTGGGGACCTCCCTCACGGCCAAATTCAGTCCCCACCCCCGTGGTGGGGATCCCCCCGTGGCCCCAGGGGTGCCGGGGTTCCGCTGAGCGCTGCGGGGAAGGTTTGGGAAAGGTTTGGGAAAGATTTGGGAATTCCCTCCAGGACCCCCACGCGTGCACCTGCGCGAACCGCGTGGCGCCGGCGCCTGCGCAGTTTCCCCTCTTTACCCCGTTCACCCCGCCCCTTAACAGCGGGTCCACCAATAGGAGAGCGGGGCGTGGCTACCTGAGCCCAATCAGCGCCGGGGGTGTGGCTCTGGGGCGTGGCCTGGCGCAGCGATGGAGGAGCCCGAGCTGTGGGTCGGGTTCGTGGGCGCCGGGCGCATGGCCGGGGGGCTCGTCCGGGGGCTGCTGCAGGCGGGTACGGCACGGGGGGCGGTCGCGACACACGGGCAGGGAAGGGGACACGGCGACAGTCCCGGTCTGGCGCCTTCCCGGCGTGTCCTGTGGCGCGGGGAAGTGTGAGGGGACATGGGGACAGCGCTGCTCCGGACGCTCCCTGCACTCCCTCCCCTGCTGTCCAGTGGAGGGACATGGGGACAGTCGCGTCCTGACCCGTTCCTAGTGTCAGCACGCCCCCAGGTCCCTGTGCTCCAGTGCAGGGATGTGGGGACAACCCTGTCCTGGCCCGTTCCTAAAGTGCCAGCCCGCCCCCGAGTCCCTGTGCTTCATTGGAAGGACATGGGGACAGCCCTGCCTTGGCCTATTCCCAAGGTCCCAGCCCTTCCCCGGGTTCCTGTCCGACACTGGAAGGACATGGGGACAGCCCTGTCCTGCCACTTTTCCCTCGGGACCATGCTCTTCCCTGGTGTCCCTGTCCCTCAGATCAGTGTGGGGACATGGGGACAGCCCTGTCCTGCCTCTCCCTGACATCCCTGTCCCACAGATTAGTGTGGGGACATGGGGACAGCCCTGTCTCACAGTGAGGGCACAGCCCTGTCCCTGCTCCCCGTGTGTCCCAGATTGTCCCTGTCCCATAGCACAGTGTGGGGACAGCCCTGCCCATTAGGGCCACCTCCGTTGTCACTGTACCCTGACACGACTGGTGCCAGCCCCTTTTGCTCCATGTCCCCCTTTGGGATCGTGCTGGGATCGTGGGAATCACATCCCGGTGGAAATTGGGGTGTCTGGGCTGTGCTGGGGTGTCCCCCCAACCCTGGGGCCACCCTGGCCGCTCACCCCATGCCTTGTGTCCCCCCAGGGAAGGTTCCAGCCAGCAACGTCCTGGCCAGCGCTCCCTCGGACAGAAACCTGGGCGCTTGGCGGGTGAGTGGGGCCCAGGGGTGGGAGATTTTGGGGTGCCCCTCACTGTGGGCTCAGAGCACCCTTTCCCCCACACTCAGGAGGGGTTTGGCTCATCCTTCCCAGATCTGGGTGAGATCCAGGCAGAGCCTCGGTGGCTTTGTGACCAGAGCAGGTCCTCAGGCTGTGTCCATGCCTCTGGACATGTCATTACCGTGGGGATGCTGGTTTTGGGATGCTGTTTTTGGGGGTGCTGATCCCTCTCCCTGTCCCTGGGCAGGAGCTGGGCTGCAGGACCACGCACTGCAACCTGGAAGTGATGTACAGGAGCACCCTGGTCTTCCTGGCCACCAAACCCCACATCCTGCCAGGTGTCCTGGAGGAGATCCGTCCTGCTGTGGGGCCCCAGCACATCGTGGTGTCACTGGTGGCTGGTGTCACCATCCAGACACTGCAGCGGGTGAGACTCCTCCTTCTCCTCCTCCTCCTCCTTCTCCTTCTCCTTCTCCTTCTCCTTCTCCTTCTCCTTCTCCTTCTCCTTCTTCTTTTCTCCTTCTCTCCTGCTTCTCCTTTTCTCCTTCTCCTCCTCTCCCTTTGCTTCTGTTTTCCCTTCCTCTCCTCCTTCTTCTCTCCTTCTCCTCCTCCTCTCCTTTCTTTTTCTTCTTCCTTCTTCTCCTCTTCCTTTTCCTCCTCATCCACCTCCTCCTTCTCTTCTTTTTCCTTGTCCTCATCCTCCTTCTCCTTCTCCTTCTCCTTCTCCTTCTCCTTCTCCTTCTCCTTCTCCTCCTTCTCCTTCTCCCCCTTCTCCTCTCCTTTTGCTTCTGTTTCCCCTTCCTCTCCTCCTTCTTCTCTCCTCCTCCTCCTCTCCTTTTTTCTTCCTCTTCCTCCTTCTCCTCCTCCTTTTCTCCTCATCCACCTCCTCCTCCTTCTCTTCCTTTTCCTTGTCCTCATCCTGGTTCCCCTTCGTCTTCTCCCCTTCTCCTTCTCTTCTCCTTCTCCCCCTCCTCCTCTCCTCTCCTTTTGCTTCTGTTTTCCTTTCTTCTCCTCCTTCTCTCCTCCTCCTCTCTCCTCCTTTTTCCTTGTCCTTTCTTTTTCCTCTTCCGCCTTCTTTTCCTCCTCATCCATCTCCTCCTTCTTCTCTCCTCCTTTTTCCTTGTCCTTATCCTCCTTCTCCTTCTCCTTCTCCTTCTCCTTCTCCTTCTCCTTCTCCTTCTTCCTCCTTTCCTTTCTCTCTGCCTTATTTTTCATCTCTCATTCTCCTCTTCCTCCTTTCCTCCTCCTCTCCTTTCTCCTCCATTTGCACCCAGGCCCACGCAGGACACACCTCTGTGGCCTTGTCCCCTCCCAGCTGCCCCTCCAGCTCCCTCCCCGTGCTCCTCACTTCTCCGCCAGCCTGATGGGTGACACCCCCCGGTGTCTCCGGTCACCTTTGGGTACTCCCCATGGCTGGCACCCCTTCTCCCATCCCCATCTTTTCCCAGCTCCTCCCTCCCGGGACCAAAGTGCTGCGGATCATGCCCAACCTGCCCTGCGTGGTGCAGGCAGGGGCCATGGTCTTCTCCCGGGGCAGCAACGCGGGTGACGAGGAGGCCGCGCTCCTCCAGAGCCTCCTGTCCTCCTGCGGCCTCTGCGAGGAGGTCCCCGAGTCCTACATCAACATCCACACCGGGCTCAGCGGCAGCGGCGTGGCCTACGTAAGACAGAGGGACGGGGGATGCTGTCCTGCGATTTGGGGCATCCTCTCCTTGCTCCAGGCTCACCCCTGGCTGCTCTTCCCAGGTTTACCTGTTTGCCGAGGCGCTGGCCGAGGGCGCGGTGAAGATGGGAATGCCGGGCGCCTTGGCCAGCAGGATCGCGGCGCAGACGCTGCTGGTGAGTCCTTGGAACACATCAGCATTTCCCCCTTTCCCTCCTGCCCCTGGGCTCCATTCCTCCCTTGGGATGAGGGAGAAGGTGCTGGAAGCTGCTCTGCCTCAGTTTCCCCTTTTGGAAGTAAAAACGAAGCCACCAGAAGGACGAAGGTCATGGCGGTAGGACAGTCCTTCGCTATGGGGGTGTTGGGATGGTGATGCCATCTGTAGCCATGATATTTTCTGAAAAATCCTTTTCCTCCTGAGAAGCCAAGAGGCCTCAGGAACAAAATGTAAACAATGATTATCTGCTGCTGTGGAGTGCAAGAGTTGGATCTGTGATTGGTCTCATGCGGTTGTTTCTAATTAATGGCCAATCACAGTCAGCTGGCTTGGACTCTCTGTCCGAGACACAAACCTTTGTTGTTCATTCCTTCTTTTTCTTAGCCTTCTGATGAAATCCTTTCTTCTATTCTTTCAGTATAGTTATAATATAATATATATGATAAAATAATAATAGATCAAGCCTTCTGAAACATGGAGCCACATCCTCATCTCTTCCCTCATCCTCAGACCCCTGTGAACACCATCACAGCCATCCAACCGTGTGAAGGGGAATTTGGCAAGTCCCAGATCTGACCTTTTTGGTGTCCTGGTGTCCCCTAGGGCGCAGCCAAGATGCTGCTGGAGACGGGGGAGCACCCGGCGAAGCTGCGGGGGGACGTCTGCACGCCCGGGGGCACCACGATCCACGCCCTGCACCAGCTGGAGAAGGGAGCGCTCCGCGCCACCGTCATGGATGCCGTGGAGGCGGCCACCAAACGGGCCTGTGACATGGCCAAGGACTAATGGACGAGCCCCTTCTGGGACAGGAGGGGTGATGGAGACCAAAGCGAGCTCCTCTGAGGAGTAGGGGGATCCTGAGATCTTCGGGAGAACGTGGGTGAGGGTGGGAGGTGGTGGGGACACGCGTTACCTCTGCGGGGCTGGGACCAAATAAACGTGGCCAGAGCAATGGGGGTGAGGCTTTTTGTGGTCCCTGTGGTCCTGGGAGGCCACCACGGGGTCACTTCCATGGGGAGGTGACATCCATGATTTCCATGCTGGCTCCATGCTCACTGTGGACGGTGCTGACACCAATAATGAAACTGGTGTGGGATGTGCAGCACTGGGGAGAAACTTTTGGGAATGAGGTGATCCCAATTTAACCCTGCTGGGGCTGGGAGAATGGCTGCACCCCTGTGGTCAGAGCCACATCCATGAGGATGCTGCCCACATTCCAGAACTATGGGCAAGAGCTCAACCAGCCAAAAAATCTGCACCATGATCCCTCCCTGGCACCAGGGAATGGGATGGAAGCCCTGATCTGCTCCCATCTCCAGGAATATTGAGGGGATAAAATCTCAAACTTGCCCATCAGGAGGAGATCTGAGCCTTTTCCATGCCCTAATTAAGCTCTGCTTGCCTCTGATGCAATTAGAGATGATTTGGGAACTGCTTTGAGGATGAAAAGGTTTTTTCCAGGTAAAACATCACTGGTGGGAACATCTGCATGCTGAGCCCTGACTTTGGATAAGGGCCTGGAATGCCAGAACACAGGGAATGGTTCCCCACTGCCAGAGGAGAGGGTTGGATGGGATATTGGGAAGGAATTCCTCCCTGGGAAGGTGGTGAGGGGCTGGGATGGAATTCCCAGAGAAGCTGTGGCTGCTTCTGGATCCCTGGAAGTGTCCAAGGCCAGGCTGGACTGAGCTTGGACCAGCCTGGGACAGTGAAAGGTGTCCCTGACCACAGCAGAGGTTTGGAATTTGATGGCCTTGCAGGTCCCTTCCCACCCAAATCATTCCATGATTTTATATCCTCACCCCCACAAACCAGTTCAAACACCTCCAGCCCAGCACCTTCTGCTGATCTTTGCAGCATTTTTGTCACACAACTAAAAGTTCCTTTTATTCACAAACTCCTGCTTGAAATGAGCCATGTCCCAAGCTCCAGAATCTTTTCGTGGGGTGATTTTGGTGTAAAAGATGATAAACAGAAATGTGATTTTACATGATTACACCCCATTGGTGTGGAGAAAGCCACACTGAGAGGACACAATCCCATGAAGATCCCCCTGGTGCCACCCCAAATCCTTCTGGGATGGCTCCACGTGACAATTCACAGACAACAACCTCCACATAGGAATAAAAATCCATTTAATTTCCATAAACTCTTCAGCAAGGAAACAAAGAACCGACAAGTAAAAACCCCAACCCGCCCACTGACATGGGGCACAGCAGCACTGAGGAGTTAATTTCATTTCCCTCTTCCAGTAATTCAGCTAAACACCCTAAAATTTCATCCAAATCAGGTCAGGAGCTGCTAAATTCCCATCAGATGCCTCCAATATTCCAAGGCAGTGCCAGGAGCCCAACCTCAACTCACCCAGATGTGTCCTCCAGCCCTGGCCACCCCACAAAGCCCATGAGGACACCTCAACCCTCATCCCTGGAGCCTACAGGGCTTGGACGATGGTACCTGGATCAGCAGGTATCTATGGTCCAGGTGTTCCCAGCTGTGATGGGAATGATGGAGGTGCCTCTTTCTCATGGATGCCACCCAAGAGTCCCTTTCCCAACCCAGTGCCTGAAGGAAATTGCCTTAAACCAGCCCCAAACCATCCTGGATTCTGTTTTGGCAGTGGGAAGGGCGTCACCAGCCTCTTCCAAGGTGGAATATTTCCCCTGCAGCACCTCAGGAGTGGCCCACGTCCAGCTGGCTGTGCCCACCTCAACCCTGCTCTGGGATTTGGGGATTTTTCAGTGTAACATCCCCCATGGACACTGAGCAGGTCCTTCCCTCACCCCTTCTCCCCATGGAATTGGGGGAACTGCGCAATTTTAGGGGGCATCCACCCCCCTTCTGGCAATGCCAGTGACCAGGGGCCACAAGGGACGTAAAAAATAGCACCTCCTAAATATATTTAGGTAAGGAACAACCCTGGAATTCGAGCTGTTGCCCGAAAATCCCCTGAATTGTGACCCACAAGCATCTGGGCTTCCTGATCCCCAGGGAATTCCGGTCACAGAGGGGCGAGTGGCACCTCCACCACCATCCCCCTGGGACAACCGGGGTGTCCCCAGCTCTGTGGCCAACCAGGGGTGGTTGGCAGCCAAAAATCGGCAGCCGCCCCTGCACTAGGATTGGGGGCTGTGGCCGCGGCGCAGCCGCTGCGCCATGGAGATGAGGGAGCGGAGCTGCACCAGCCTCAGCGGCCCCACCTCCCGCGGGTCCTGTCCCTCCAGCCAGCGCAGCGCCGTCTCCAGACCCTGGATGGCTTCCCCAGCCGTGGGCAGCAAAGGATCTCCTCCTTCCCCACCCCTTTTGCCACCAGCTGCTTCCTCCTCATCATCCTCCTCGGCGCCTTCCTCCTCGCCACCATCGTCCTCCTCCGCACCCGGAGCTGCATCATCCAAGTGCAACCAGTCGGACACTTCCTCGGGAGCCAAGCACTTGAAGGCCAAGGCGGCCAGGTGGGTCAGGTCACTGAAGACCTTGCTGTCCCCTCCGCCTTCCTCACCTCCAGGGGTGTCCCCGTGCACTTCCTCGCCGGGCTGGGGCTCAAAGGAGGCGCGCAGCCCCAGCAGCCAGCACTTCTCGATGGATCCCGGCGGGATGAGATCCCAGGAGAGCCCAGCCAGGTACAACATGTCCTTGAGGAGGAAGGAGCGCACGAAATCCGCGGGGCTGCTGGGGCCGCCGCAGGACACGGCCAAGCGCAGCAGTTCCCGCTTGTAGAGCTGCTTGAAGGCCGACACCACCCCTTGCTCCAGCGGCGCCGGGATTCGGCCTCCTGCTCCGGCCAAGCCGCTCCCTGAGGGACTCTTGGAGAGGAACAGCGCACGGATGGATCCATCCGGAGTCTGGAGCGGCGGAGAATCCTCAGCCCCCACTCCAGAGCGGGATGGAGCGGAGCTGAGCAGCAGCACGGCCTTCTGCTGCAGGCAGCTCCGCCTCAGGTACCGCTTCACGCCCGGCACGAAGTCCTCAAAGAACCAAGCCCTCAGAAGCGCCGGCGCCAGCCGGGCCTCGGGGCTGTAGCGGTAGCAAGCCGGGAATTTCTCCTGGTTGTGATGCCGGAGGCTGGCGGGATCACGGAGACCCCCGACCACCAAAGGCTTGAGTTTGTGGGAGCCGGTCAAGTTGGCGGCCAGCAGCACCGTGACGCACTCGCCGCGGGCCGGGCGCCTCGCCGTGATTCCAGAACCGGGGAGAAGCTTCCAGAAGAGCCTGGTGATGTTGGCGTTGTAGATCTGCTCGTCCCCGTAGCCGCCGGCATCGGGCAGGACCTCGGCGCGGGTGGCCGGGGCGCGCTCGGGCTCGGCGGGGAGGCCGCCCTCGCCGTAGATGCGCTGGCTGGAGATGCCGTGGCGCTTCTGCCAGCGCCAGAACCAGCCGTGGCTCGCCTTGAAAGTGCATTCAGGCCCGTAGATCTGCCGGGCGAAGGCTTCCGCTTGTGCTTGGATGAGGGGTCCGGACAGCGGCACGCCGTGCTGGCGCAGGGCGAGGAACCAGGCGTAGACGGCGCGGTCGATCTCCTCCTCGTTGGCCAAGCGCATCTTCTTGCGCTGGGTGCCCACCTCGCCGCCGAGCTGCTCCAGGAACCAGCGGAGCTTCGCCTCGTCCTTCAGCCACCCCCGGAGAGTGCCTCCCGGCACCCCGAAAGCCCGGCACACCGACGCCTGGCGCTCGCCCTTCTTCACCCTCTCGATGGCCTGGAGCTTGTCCTTGATGGAGTAGGCGCGGCGAAGCGACATCTTCACCGACACCCCCCCGGGTGATGCGCTGCTGCCTCCACCTCCTCCTCCTCCCGCCCGCCGCCCTCCCGCCATTCCCCCGCCCTCCTCCGGCTCCCCCCCGGGCATGGAGCGACGCCCGCATCCATGGGAATGGGGGGCGCGTTATAACCGGGGAGGAATGCGAGGATGGGGTGGGGGGGGCGCGGCGGCGCCTTTGTCTCCGCTCCGATCCCCCGCATGCGCGCACCCCACCACAGCCACTAAGTTGCGCCGCTACCCCTCCCTCTTTTCCTCGGCAAGTTGGATTCGTCCTCGTATCTCCAGCAGCGCCTATGGGTTGTACCACTTTGCCAAAAGAGGGGAGAGCGCCACCCCGCTGCCCCCTCCCCTCACGTCGCTTTCCCCCTTGAGTGTTCCACTCGGCTTTCACGGGAGGGAGAAGAAGTGCGCGGAGGGAGACAACGCGCCGCACGTACAGCGCGGGGACTCCTCCGCCCCGTAACGCCCCCCGTAAAATATAGGGGATCATCCTAGGGGAGGCAGGGATGTAGCGTGGGGAGCAGCGATGTGGCTCATCCCCGTTTTCGCAGAGTGGTACAACCCACGGGCGCTTGCGGAGGTGCGAGGACGAATCCAACATGGCAAGGAAAAGGGGGAGCGGCGCGTCCTAATAGGTACAGAGGGGTGGTTCGCGCATCCCGCTTCCTCCCCGCCGTGATGTTCCACATGTCTCTTTTATCGTGGGGGGGACAGGCCCCGCTCTGTGCGTGTCACACGTTGTCTCCCGCAGCGCACCCCCCTCGCCACCCTCCCGCTCGCCACGTGTGGTACGCGCCTCCCCCATAACCCTCCGCGCGGCGCACGCCGCCCCTCTCTATCCCGGCGGCGGCCAAAGGGAGCGGAGGGCTCTGAAGGGGTCAAAGCTGTTGGTGAGTCCTGGTTTCCAGCCCCTAGGAAGCCTTACACCCCCTGTTAGGGTCGTTTATCCCCCTCCCGGATCATCGGTAGGGGGAGTTTCGGGGGTCTTCGGAGCGTCCTTTATCCCTCTAGGGTGTGAGGTGGGGGGGCCCCTCATGATATGTGGGGGGAAGGGGCTTAGGGGGTCCTTTAGGGTGTGTAAGGTTCTTTTATCATCTTAGAATCCCCAAGAAGGAGGTTGTGGTCACCCCTTTTGTTCTCTTTAGGGCACTTTTCCTGCGGAAAGAGGGATTTGGGGATCTCCTCATAAGGAATGGGGCTCCTTCCCTCACAGTGGTGGGAAGGGGGGAATTTTGGGGATCCTTCCTTGGATGTGGGGGTCTCACGCCCTGTAAAAGCCTCAGAAAAGGGAGTTTGGGGGGGATTCTCCCATTGTCTTTGGGGTCCATTCCATTCCCCCAGAGTCCTGAGGGAGAGGATTTGGGGTGTTCTTGGTTTTTGGGATAACTTTTCCATGCCTAGAATCCTGTGGAATACTGGGGTGATCCCCCTTTCCCCATGTTCGGCCCCTTTCCCCTTAGTAGGTCTGCAAAGGGGGTCGTGGAAGTCCCTAAGAGTCCTAAGGAAGGGATTTGGGCATGCCCTTGTTTCCTGGGATTACTTTCCCCACTTAAAATCCCAGGGAATATTGTGGTGACACTCCCCACTCCCAATGTTTTAGGTTCCTTTTCCCTTAAAAGTTCTGGGAAGGGGCTTGTGGAAACCCCCTCTGCATTCCCTGTGGGGTCTCTCCTCCCCTCACACCCCAAAAAAGAGGATGTGGGAGATTCCCTCATTATGTGGGAGATCCTGTGTTAGGTACAGGGAAGGGGAGGATTTTAGGATTCTCCATGTCTTTGTGGTCCTTTTCCTTTCCCAAGATTTAGGAATTCGCTGTTACAGGTAAAGGGGTTGGTGGGCTCATACTGGGGCTCTCCCTAAACCTTTGTGGTTTTTTCATAGATTTTGGGGACCTATTTCCTGGTTTTTTTGGGACTATTCCTGATGTATTAAAGCCTCACCTCTTCAAGTCTGGATTGGGGGTGGTGGGGAAATGGATCAGTGTTATTCCTGCCCTGGTAAGAAAGGGAATTTAGGGATCCCACACTTCCCCAGCTGCTCCAGGTGCCTCAAGGGTCCGCTCCTCCTCCCCCAATTCCTGGGAATTTTTTTGTCCAGTCACTTGCTGCAAAGGGAAACCGGAGCTGCTGCCGTGTCCTGGCACGGAGCAGCCAATCCATCCCATATCCCAACCCCCTTGGCTGCCTTTCCAAACTTACCCCAGAGCTGGGAAACCTGGAAAATCAACTCCAGGTGCACCCGGGCTCTGCTTATCTCACCTGTCCCTCTTTTCCTCGTGCTGCTGTTCCCGGATTTCCGTCACCTTGGTGGCTTTGTCCTTTCCCTGTTTTTTTATGATCCCGTTGCTCGGGAGGGAGGGATCCATTTCCAGACTATTTTGGGAGCGGGCAGAGGCTGCTGCTGTTGTGCTCCGTGGGGTTTTTGAGGGATTACATCCCTGGCTGAACTTGCTGAGGCTGCCGCATCGGCGTTCCCAGAAATCCCCCATGGATTTGTTCTGTCGCATCCAGGTCAGCGATGGTTTGGGATTGATTGGGATCCTGATCATCACCATCCGTAGGGATGACAAATTCCCTTTCCTGAGCTGTTTTGCTGGAATTCTTCCCTCTCCTTTTCCAGGTTTCTCCCTGACCTTCAGGCAGGATTTTTCCTCACCTGAGCTGCTCATTCCCAACTCTTTATTTTTTTTTCCCTGTTTCTCCTGAAGGTGACACCTTCCAAGTCTTTCCCTTCTGCTGATTTCCCATATCTGTGATTGTCTCATTAGGAATTTTCAGCCTGGAGCAGAAAGTTGTGGTTTTTGGGTGATCAGGAGTGGGAATTGTGGTGTTTTCCTGGAATGTGGAGCTTTGTCTCATAGCAAAGATAACGATAAGATGATGATAAGGATCTGACTTAGGGAAGAGCCAATTTTAGGGAATGAAGTCAGCAGGAATTTTAGGAACAGCCAAATTCCAGCTGAATTGGAAAAAATAGCAGAAGATCTGGTTTTAAATGAATAAAAATATTAGATACAAGTGTTAATATTTTGATTTATTTTGATTTCCCTGTTGTTGAACTCATCCTGAATTTCTGGGCTGTGACTTTTCCCAGTGGAGAACATTCCCAACACCACAGCATGGTTTATAATCCTAAAACTTTGTGTTTGAGGAAGTAAAAATGCCAATTTTGAGTGGAAAATGTTGAAAGTTGATGGTTTGTGTGATTAAAATTCCTTTTCCCCAGGTTCTTCCAGGAAAACTGATGGACACAGAAGAAAAATAACTTTCTTTTCCCCATTTTTCCTTGTTTAGAAGCTTTATTTCCTTGGAAATTTGGGGTTTTTCAGGTCTCACCATTGGCTGCTCATGGAAGCAAAAAGTTGCTGCAGGAATGTTTGGAATCACCCAAAAATTTGGGATCCTGAATTCCACCAACACGTGCCAGGACTGGGATGGCAGGTTGGGAATTCTCAGGCTGCTGGGATGGGAAAATCCTTTTGGATAACATCGCAATAATGTTCCTTTCATTGTATTAAAATTAAAATAAACTCATTTTCTGTGGTGTTGGTTCACAAACTTCATGGAGTTCTGAAAAGTTAATGAGCTTTAATTAATTAACCTATTAATTATTAATATTTTTTTGGCTGAGGAGCTGCTGCATCCATAGAAATTGGATTTTTTCTCTAAATTTATCCTGTGTTTCTTTTTTTAATGCTGTCATAGGAGCAAAAAAAGTAAGTACCTTCTAATTGTTGTGTGTTTTTTTGGGAATTCTGGAAAATCTGGGAATGTCAGCACCAGTGGGATGTTTATTAGACAAATTCCTGCAGTTTTCTTGGAAATAATTAATTTTGAAGAGTTTTTTTAATATTAATTTTAGCTCTGTCAATGGGATGAAATCTCCTGGGAGTTCCTCATTATGGAATTCCTATTCCAAAATTCACCTCATCCATGAGGGCTGCAATTCCAGAGCTTGGAGCTGCTTAAAAACTGGACCAAAATCACTTAAAAATTTAAAAAACAATAAATTTTTGAATTTAATTTAAAAAAATCAAATTAAAAATTTAGTTTTAAAAGAAAGAAATTGTAGAATTTTTTGTGCTAAATACTATATTTTTTATTATTTTTATTATTTTACTCATTATTTACTATAATAAGTTTATTTCTATGTAAGGTTCTAACAAGAATTTATTGCTCCATAAAAGAAAGAAAAATGTAAAATAAATTCAAAATAATCTTTAATTTTGAAATTTTTTTATTATGAATTGAAATCTCAATTTTAAAGCATTTTAGCTGGATCAAAGTTTCCCAACTCCAGGAGAAAAAAAAGAAAAATCTCCTTTTGCCATTTCTAATAATTTGTCTAATTGGAGTCTAATTAATATTTTAAACTCTATCAATTTAAATGTTTAAAGGCAAAGCTTTAATTTAGTAATATATAAATTTAAATGGAATTATTCAATACCGAAAAAAGTATTTATGTGTAAATTTCAAATTAAAATTTAAATTCAAGCCAATAAATTTTAAATTAAAACTTAAGTTAAAGGCAATAAATTTTAAATTTAATTTAAATTATAGTTGAAAATTAGATTGAAATTTGAAGTTAAGACTTGGACTTGAGGCTTCCAAAATCTTCCTGGAATTATTGGAATTACAAACGTTTGAGGCTATTTCATCTGTCTGGGAATTTTATTTGGCAGTCTGCCACAGGTCAATTTTTATTAATTAGTTTTTGAATTAATCACAAGATTCCCAGCTCCTGGACAAGTTTAATTTGCCAGTAGCTTGGATTATATCCCAAAATTCAATCCCAGTTTTTCAGCACCTGCCTTTTAGCATGAAAACCCAATCAGGAGTCAACAACAACCTCCAAAAACGCAAAAATTGGAGCCAGTTTTCCCAAAATTTTGCCTAATTGGGAATAAATAACAAATAATTAATGACTAATCCACTAACTTGGAATAATATCTTGTAATTCCCAAGGATTTGAACAAAATCCTGTGAGTTTTTTTCCTGCCTTAAATTTCAAATAATGAGAGG